TTAATAAATAATATTTATACTTAGAAAAAGGCTTCTTATAAATTAGTATATTATCTTTATAAAAAAGTAACTAACTCTAGAATTCTTAACTAACTCTAAATCTACTATTAGATTAATAATAATAATAATAATGGTAATATATATTACACTAGTTATAATAATAGTATAAGCCTATTACAGAATACCTTTGCTAGCCTTAAAGGCTCTTAATATATCTTAGTTTAAGAGTAAGAATATTACTAATTTTCTAGAGACTTTTAATAATATATATAATAATTATGTAATAAATAATATAGAGAGATTAACGAAGATTAAAGGATATTATAAATTTAAGACTTAAGAGTATATATAGACTCTTTTATATAATAAGGAGGATTAGAAGTTATTTAAGAAAGAATTAATAAAGAAATACAAAAAAGAAGATATATATTAGTAATAATAGACCTAAGTATTTCTAAAGAGACTCTATAATATTAAGTATAAGAAGAAAGATTATAATTTAAAAGATTATTACTATTAGTTTATACCTACTTATTATTCCTTATTAAAGAGAAGACAAATTAATAAGTATACTAGTACTTATTTATTTCTGACTAGCCTGCTTATTAAGCTAAAAAGAAGAGTAATTATATATTAAGAAATAAGTCCTAATAATAAGTTAACTATAAAATTTAAGAGCCTATATTTAAGAAGATAATAAAGTATTTAGAAGCTAAAAAGAATTTAGATTTCTTTATTAAGACTCTTACTTAGAAGAAGAAAACTAAGAGGCTTGTAAGTATTATTTAAGTACTACAAAATAATAGCCTTAATTTTGATATATATCTTGTGATTTCTATAAGAGGCACTTTTAACAGCTTTATTAATAAGTTAATAGAGCAGATTAGTACTTTTATAATATTAATATAAGTTATATTAAGTTAAATAAGTAAAGAGAATATAGTTATATTATAGGTTATTAAAAATCAAGTAGTAATAAAGAGGACTTTTATTACTAAAGCTAATATAATGCCTTTAAATATATATATTAACACTTAAATATTCTTATTTATTATTTCTATTCTAAAAGAAGATATATATAACCTTATTATAAGAGTCTGTAATAGCTTATAAATATAGAAGAGATTTATATTAATAGAAATTAATAAGTTGCTTAAAGAGGAATAAGACTAGATACGTTAGAACTATAAAGAATAATTAAAAAATTATTATATAAAGTTATATAAACTAATTTAAAGGATTAAGAATCAAAGTAAAGAAGTAAAGAGGTCCTTATAGGCCTTCTGCAAGACCCTGAAGTAGCTTCATACGACATTATAGCAGTCCAAGAACCATGGAGAAACCCGTTCAATGCTATGCCGTACAATCCCAGGCAGAGCTCATTCCACACAAGCGACCAAGGACACAAGGATTCAAGAGTGAGCATGTATATCAATAAGAGAATCCGTACGAACAAGTGGTCAGAAACACACCATTCGAAAGACCTTACAACAATCACTTTACAGGTCCAAAACGAACTAACAAATCCGAACACAGACCTCGTACGGATAATCAATATTCATAACGTGTACCATCATCAAACCACCCATTCAGAGGCACAAGAGACCGAAACTCTTCGTACGCTAAGAGAAGCCCTTAAGATGCCAGGAGAACAAATTGTCATAGGGGACTTAAACCTCCACCACCCGAGATGGGGTGGGCCCTCATACCCTATGCAACACAAGCTGGCCGACACCCTTCTTGACATCATACAAGAGGCAGACATGGACCTCACACTGCCACAAGGCACAATCACAAGGGATTGTCAAAGAGGTAACTCGCACGAACAGACAACCATTGACCTAGCCTTCGCAAATGCAGCACTAAGACAGCAACTTGTAAGATGCAAAATAGAAACAGAGCTGGACCAATCCTCAGATCACCTCCCAATCCGTACAGAGTTCGAATAGGATGACACAGAACCCCCAGTCAAGACACCCCAGAAAAAAGCGTGGAAGAAACTTGACGTCAAAAAGTTTCATGAGAGCTTAAACCTCCGTACAGAGAGCCTGGACAAACACTCTCTGACATCACGAGAGACAATCAATCAATTCACAAGCAAACTAATGAAAGCTATCTCAGAGGCTGCAGAGGAATCGACCCCTTGGATAAGACCAAACCAATGGAGCAAAAGCTACTGGACGAAAGACTGCCAGACAGCAGTAAAGGCAACAAGGGCCGCAAGAAGACAGTTCACTCACCACCCATGTCTCGAAATGTGGCAGAAATTCGTACGAACTCGAAGTCGAAAAGGCAAGATATTAGGCAAAGCAAAAAGGGACGAATTCCGAAATGCGATGCAAGAAGCTGGCTCTAAGCCAAATAGTATCTGGAAGATCGTACGATGGGCAAAACAACGATCCCAGAACCAAACCACACAAGTCTCACTCCTAATCCTTAAGCAAGGCTTGTACAAAGCAAAGGATGCAGAGTCTAAAGCAAAACTGTTACAGGATACAAGCTTTCCCTCTCCCTCAGAGATCAACTTAAGCAATCTAGAAAACTTTCACTACCCTCCAAAAATCCCTTAACAAGAAGAGATTATAAAAGAAGAGATCCTTAGAGCAACAAATTATATAACAAAGGATAACGCTCTAGGATTAGACAAGCTCTTAAACTAAGTAATCTAATTAGTTATATAAGAAAAGATAACCCTAGTTAAGCGTCTCTTTTAAGCATGCTTAGACTAAGGAGTTCAACTAGATCACTACAAAACAGTATATACAGTAATGCTTAAGAAACTAGGAAAAAGTAATTATATAAACCCGGGAGTATACAGACTAATAGCTCTTTTTAACATTATAAGAAAGATCTTAGAAGCAGTTATCTCAAACTAAATCAAATACATAGCTGAAGTATATAATCTGCTCTTTAATACTTAATATAGCGTACATACAAGCTAAGCTATAGAAATAGCACTCTAACAGATTATAGAGAAAATATATACAATCTAAGGAAGAGGAAGAAAAAGGATAATTAGTCTTCTATTACTAGACGTCTCTAAAGTATTTAATAGAGTCTCACACGCTTAGCTTACTTATAATTTGAGAAAGA